CCCATGACTTTTTCTCTTTTGAAAATAGTTTTCAGAATATGTATAATTAGGGTTTTTTTGTATATGAATTTTTTGCATCTATACATTGTATATATTGACACAGTTGACAGAATACATAGTCTATCAAGTGTTTGATCTGCAAACTAAAATGTCTTCATATTTGCATTGACATGGAACCTTTGTAGGCTGTCATGACAATTGATAATTGCACCCAGGCTTATCTGACCGATGCAGTTGTTATGGTCAATGATTTTAGAATTGCAAAATCCTTGGTACAAGTTAATCGTAATCTTTCTGAAATGTAGTTTGGAATGAAGTTCGAGGCCTCAAAATTGCTTCATATCTGGCCAGACTACATTGAATAACATCCTCCTTCCCCATCCTTCAAACACATGCATCCATTTCATGGTGTCCATATTAGGTTTGTGTGTATTCAATGATACAGTATGCCTTAAGTGCTTAGCATACAGCAATTCTGGCTGCCAGAGTTAAGGGGTAAATATAAGTAGGGTGGTTCCAATCCCAAAAGATGCATTTCCTCTGAAAGCAGATGTTTTCTTTCTGGCTGGTGGCAGAACGCTTGTATGCTAAAATCACTGTTCCTGTTTATGTTCAAAATAAGTATATTTTAATAGGTTTGCATTTTAGTTATAAAACTTGTTGTATTTGTTTTTTTGGCAACCTTTTCTCAAGAAGGCTAGCTCGGCTATCCAACCTGCCTTAATGATCATTTCTGTACCTCTATAGACCTGTTGTTAGAACATCAATTGTTTTTTCCCTAACTCTATTGTCCACTTGTAACAATTTGTCCATGGTTATACCAGCGTTACCAATATTTGCCTAAATTAAATGACTTAACCCCTTTCATCTCTTTTCTACATGTGACTCTAAAATAGTCAGTTTTTTAAACACCTAGATCATAGAATCATAGAATATCGGGGTTGGAAGGGACCTCAGAAGTTCATCTAGTCCAACCCCCTGTTCAAAGCAGGACCAATCCCCAACTAAATCCTCCCAGCCAGGGCTTTTTCAAGCCTGACCTTAAAAACCTCAAAGGAAGGAGATTCCACCACCTCCCTAGGTAACTCATTCCAGTGCTTCACCACCCTCCTCGTGAAAAAGTTTTTCCTAATATTCAATCTAAACCTCCCCCACTGCAACTTGAGACCATTACTCCTTGTTCTGTCATCTGCTACCACTGAGAACAGTCTAGATCCACCCTCTTTGGAACCCCCTTTCAGGTAGTTGAAAGCAGCTATCAAATCCCCCCTCATTCTTCTCTTCTGCAGACTAAACAATCCCAGTTCCCTCAGCCTCTCCTCAGAAGTCATGCGTTCCAGTCCTCTAATCATTTTTGTTGCCCTCCACTGGACGCTTTCCAATTTTTCCACATCCTTCTTGTAATGTGGGGCCCAAAACTGGACACAGTACTCCAGATGTGGCCTCACCAACGTCGAATAGAGGGGAACGATCACATCCCTCGATCTGCTGGCAATGCTTCTACTTATGCAGCCCAAAATACCATTGGTCTTCTTGGCAACAAGGGCACACTGTTGACTCATATCCAGCTTCTCGTCCACTGTAACTGCTGCCGAGCCATTCGGTCCCTAGTCTGTAGTGGTGCATGGGATTCTTCTGTCCTAAGTGCAGAACTCTGCACTTGTCCTTGTTGAACCTCCTCAGATTTCTTTTGGCCCAATCCTCTAATTTGTCTAGGGCCCTCTGTATCTTATCCCTACCCTGCAGCGTATCTACCACTCCTCCCAGTTTAGTGTCATCTGCAAACTTGCTGAGGGTGCAGTCCACACCATCCTCCAGATCATTAATGCAGATATTGAACAAAACCGGCCCCAGGACCCTTGGGGCACTCCACTTAATACCGGCTGCCAACTAGACATGGGGCCATTGATCACTACCTGTTGAGCGCAACGATCTCGCCAGCTTTCTGTCTACCTTATAGTCCATTCATCCAGCCCATACTTCTTTAACTTGCTGGCAAGAATACTGTGGGAGACCATATCAAAAGCTTTGCTAAAGTCAAGGAACAACACGTCCACTGCTTTCCCTTCATCCACAGAGCCAATAATCTCATCATAGAAGGCGATTAGATTAGTCAGGCATGACCTTCCCTTGGTGAATCCATGCTGACTGTTCCTGATCACTTTCCTCTCCTCTCAGTGCTTCCGAATTGATTCCTTGAGGACCTGCTCCATGATTTTTCCAGGGACTGAGGTGAGGCTGACTGGCCTGTAGTTCCCAGGATCCTCCCTCTTCCCTTTTTTAAAGATGGGCACTACATTAGCTTTTTTCCAGTCATCTGGGACCTCCCCCATCGCCATGAGTTTTCAAAGATAATAGCCAATGGCTCTGCGATCACATCCGCCAACTCCTTGAGCACTCTCGGATGCAGCGCATCCAGCCCCATGGATTTGTGCTCGTCCAGCTTTTCTAAATAGTCCTGAACCGCTTCTTTCTCCACAGAGGGCTGGTCACCTCCTCCCCATGCCGTGCTGCCCAGTGTAGTAGTCTGGGAGCTGACCTTGTTCGTGAAGACAGAGGCAAAAAAAGCATTGAGTACATTAGCTTTTTCCACATCCTCTGTGAGTAGGTTGCCTCCCTCATTCAGTAAGGGGCCCACACTTTCCTTGACTTTCTTCTTGTTGCTAACATACCTGAAGAAACCCTTCTTGTTACTCTTAACATCTCTTGCTAGCTGCAACTCCAAGTGTGATTTGGCCTTCCTGATTTCACTCCTGCATGCCTGAGCAATATTTTTATAGTCCTCACTGGTCATTTGTCCAATCTTCCACTTCTTGTAAGCTGCTTTTTTGTGTTTAAGATCAGCAAGGATTTCACTGTTAAGCCAAGCTGGTCGCCTGCCATATTTACTATTCTTTCTACACATTGGGATGGTTTGTTCCTGTAACCTCAATAAGGATTCTTCAGAATACAGCCAGCTCTCCTGGACTAATTCTTCCTGGTTTGTGAGCAGCAGGTCAAGAAGAGTTCTGCGCAGTTGGTTCCTCCAGCACTTGCACCAGGAATTTTTCCCCTACACTTTCCAAAAACTTCCTGGATTGTCTGTGCACTGCTGTATTGCTCTCCCAGCAGATATCAGGGTGATTGAAGTCTCCCATGAGAACCAGGGCCTGCGATCTGTTAGTTGCCAGAAGAAAGCCTTGTCCACCTCATCCCCCTGGTCTGGTAGTCTATAGCAGACTCCCATCACTACATCACCCTTGTTGCTCACACTTCTAAACTTAATCCAGAGACTCTCAGGTTTTTCTGCAGTTTCATACGGAACTCTGAGCAGTCATACTGCTCTCTTACATACAGTGCAACTCACTCACCTTTTCTGTCCTGTCTGTTCTTCTTGAACAGTTTATATCCATCCATGACAGTACTCCAGTCATGTGAGTTATCCCACCAAGTCTCTTTTATTCCAATCACATCATAATTCCTTGACTGTGCCAGGACTTCCAGTTCTCCCTGTTGTTTCCCAGGCTTCTTGCATTTGTGTACAGGCACTTAAGATAACTTGCTGATCGTCCCGCTTTCTCAGTATGAGGCAGGAGCCCTCCCCTCTTGTACTCTCCTGCTCGTGCTTCCTCCTGGTATCCCACTTCCCCACTTACCTCAGAGCTTTGGTCTTCTTCCCCTGGTAAACCTAGTTTAAAGCCCTCCTCACTAAGTTAGCCAGCCTGCTTGCGAAGATGCTCTTCCCTCTCTTTGTTAGGTGAAGCCCGTCTCTGCATAGCAATCGTTCTTCTTGGAACACCATCCCATGGTCAAAGAATCCAAAACCTTCTCTCAGACACCACCTGCATAGCCATTCGTTGACTTCCATGGTTCGACGGTCTCTACCCAGGCCTTTTCCTTCCACAGGGAGGATGGACGAGAACACCACTTGCTCCTCAAACTCCTTTATCCTTCTTCCCAGAGCCACGTAGTCTGCAGTGATCAAGGTAATTCTTGGCAGTATCATTGGTGCCCAAGTGGAGAAGTAGGAAGGGGTAGCAATCCGATAGCTTGTTGAGTCTCGGCAGTCTCTCTGTCATATTGTGAATCGTAGCTCCTGGCAAGCAGCAGACTTTTCGGTTTTCCTGATCAGGGTGGCAGATAGATGACTCAGTCCCACTGAGGAGGGAGTCCTCGACCACCACCATCCGCCTCCTCTGTTCTTTGCTAATTCTAATTAAATGAGTGGCACGTGCTATTACCTGTATTTCCCTGGGAGCCTAAATAGTTTTTCTTCCCTCTTCTTAAAGTGTGATCATTAAATAATTTACAGTTTTTTCAGGCAGGACAGCAACAGACTTGTGCATAGTCATGAAGTTGGAAGTTCCCACATACAACCTGTTGTCTCCTCATGGAGGAGCTGTGTCATCCTAAATTATCTCCACATATTCTGGCAAGAATGGGTGAGAGGCTGAGTGTAAAGTACAGTTCTAATAGAAGAAATGGACACATTCACCCTAGTAAAAAGAAAAGGAGGACTTGTGGCACCTTAGAGACTAACAAATTTATTTTGTTAGTCTCTAAGGTGCCACAAGTCCTCCTTTTATTTTTGCGGATACAGACTAACACGGCTGCTACTCTGAAACCTGTCATTCACCCTAGTGAATCCCACCAGTCCCTTTGTCAGAAAGCTGTTTGCTTCCTCGGCTAAATGGAATTCTTGTTTAAGTTGGCTGCCCTGAAAGCTACCTGCTGAGCAGTAGAATCCACACTGAAAAAGGATTTCCCATTTCAATTTGATGATTCTGCCACCTAGTTTTCCAGTACATTAACTGCTTTGGGAACTGCTGTGTAGCATGGACTTAGTGGTTCACTGAATGGGAAGCAACAGGGGTTTGATTCAAGAGGTGTATGAGGTTCTGTGACAGAAATAATAATGTATAATAGAGTGTATTCTACATAGTATCAATCCTGCCATGATCTCCAACCCATCCCTTAATATCTGCATTCCTAAAAATTATCTTAATATTTTCTGAATGCAGAGTTTCAGAGCAGAGAACCAGATCTTTACTGTGAAGCTACATCTAAACCAGATTGTGAATCGTGGCCTGTGGCACTTGGAGAAGCAAATTCAGAAAGTTTGCAGAATAAAATTCAGAAGCTCCGGAGGTTGATCATGGAAATCAAAGAGGAGAGAACATCAGATGAAGCACAGCACTTTCTTCCTGCAACACAGGCAGACAACCTTAGGGAGCCTCAGTTTACAAGTTAGCGTGTATACTCTTTATTTCATGTTACGCAGTAAATACTACTTTAAAAATGCCCCAAATTCTGTAATTGCACAAATCAATGGACATGTTGGAATTATAGTACAATTTAAATTGTTGACTAACAGTTGGCTGTACCAGAGGAAATAAACTGATGAATATTTTATTTAAACATTATTACTGTTTTAGATTTATGCAAATAACCCTCCTGGGGGGAACAAAGGGTGTGATAACTACACTCCGATTTTTATTTATTTTTTTATAAGATTTTTATTCTTTTATATACCCTTTTTCATTTCATAGCCAAAAACTCCTTCTCTGTTGACTTCCATGTAAGTTCCTCTTTATGTGATCATAGCCCCTTCTGTTTGAGCCTTTCTTTAGTAATGCTAAGTGGCAACAGAAGGCATCAATATTGCAGCCATTTTCCAGTTACCTTCTGTGGAGGTTAAGCAACGCACGGTTACTTTAGCTGTTTCCCTCATTATCCCCATTGGTCAGCTTTGCAACTTAATGGTCCCTCTCACACCCTGATGAATTAGGAACATGTTGCCATTTCAAATAAATGACGTGCAATATTAAAGCACACTTCTAAAATACAAGGGATTATAGTATACTCATACTCTGTATAAGAGAGAGGGAATTAATTTCCCTTCTTTTATATATAAACTTACGGGCATTTTTGCTGTACTGTAGTTTCTTGATAAAATAATATATGGTAAAGTGTTCTACTTTTATTAACCTGATTTATATGCTTTGAGGAAATGTGGATATTTTTGTTGCAGTTTAGAGTGTTATGGCTTATGCATTTAAAATGAACAATTACATACCATATTTTTTAGAGAGATTTAGGCAACTGGGCAGTGTTGTATTTGCAAACTTACTTACAAATGCAAATGTAAATGTAAGACAAAGTATGGGTTTTTGTTTCTATATTGGCACTTTGTGAAAAGGTCTCTCCTACAATATAATTTCCTTTAAAAACATAAAAAAATGGTAGATGCCTCCAACAATGGTAAGAAGATATTGATCTACAAGTAAAGCAAGTTAAGATTACAGTATATGAAACTAGAATTTACATATTTTCTAACTTGTTTTTTTTAATATTAAAAGGTATCAAGAGGATTGCGAATGAGTCAAAGCTGGAGTTTGTCCTTGGTAAGACATAGTTTTGATTTCTGTACAGAATGGTCTGTATGGACATATTCTGTGTCTGTAATATTACATACTAGTTTTAAAAAATTGACACCCTTGTTTAGTAGATATTGTGTGTCTATATTGGAAAATTTGGGCTAGATTCTCAGCTGGTGTAAATTGCTGTAGTGCCATTGACTTAAGTAGACCTACTTATTTTATATCAGCTGTATGATCTGGCCCATAATGTTTTATAAAACATTACATATTCTGGGCTAAGGAATTGAAAATCCCTATGTTTAAACTATGGGCAGCTCTATATTTTATGTGGCTATAATACCGTACCTTTGAATAATGCATACATTTATCTAAAAGCACAACTATTCTTTTGTGGGGAAAGGTTAATATCAGTCTGTCTTTTTATTATATTTCTCTTTACTCTAGTGATTTACAGGGGAGCAGTCTGTTTCAGAAGGTGTTCTGTTAGTACACACCACCCACTCTATTCAGATATATATAATATGGTTAGGAGAGTTCAGTCGGTCAAGCAGACTAATTGGCTGAACATGTCTCCTCATTGTTAACTTGATGTTTGTTAGCAGAAAGCATTTAAAATAGATTATTTCCCACTATGAAGTCTGATAGATTTTTCAATCTCTTCAGTTTCTCTCTTTTTTTTTCATATTTTTCGTTATCTTTCTCAATTTTCCCATATAGAAGATCATTACAAACAGAAAAAACTGTCTTCTCATGGTTTCATAAAATTGCACAATATTTGTAGCATTAACAAAAATGTCATTTAGAAAGTGGAAGACACTTTTATATCTGTGCAAGACACTTTTTATTGTTGTTTTTCAAAAGATTAAGAGAAATAAATTTATGCAGTGTACTGAGTGTAACTGGAGCATACGACATCTCTGGAATCTAAATAATTCCTAATTTTAGGCCTTCATTTTTCTCCATACTGATGTGTACAGGAAAGACACATGGATATAACAATAAAACTTTGAAATTGTGCAATCCAAAGACAATACATAGTATTTTCTGAAATAATTAAAACTAATAAACTACCTTATTGTTGTAGTTTTTTATTGATATAATCAGACAAAATGCATTTGACATAGTGTAGATATATAGTGAGGAAACCTGAATAGTGATAAATACTAGTCAATGTGATCCATCACAGTAAATATACATGTATAAAATAATATTATCATGTATTTTAATTATACATTTTCCTTTCTGGTATATATAGTACCCTATGCAGAAAATGGAAACCAGTTTTTTCTACTGCCAGATCCTCAGTTCTGCTAAATCTATCTTGTCCCACTTTAGATGACTAATAATTTCCCCTTGCATAAAAAAACCCTCTGGTGCCATAGAGCCTCACTCCACCTGTCCTCCACGATCATCACCTTCCTTCCCTCCCGCTCTTCTCCACTGCCCTATCCCTCTTGCCCGGCTCTCTGCCTTTGTCTTTGTGTTGAGTTCATCACTTCCTTGGTAAACCCCACCCAAAGGGTTTAAATAACAAAAAACAACAATGAGAAAATTGTGGTGCTGCCGTGATGCGTACTGACCATTGTTCTGCTCACTCTGCTTGTACATGATGTCCCTTTGCCCTACCCTTTGGGCTTGTTTACATATAGTTTTTGTAGTGCTATACCCATAGCAATTTTGAAACTCCTACAGTTAAAGTGATAGGATTCCCTAGTGTGGATGCAGTTATGCTGGTGGATTGCATTGCTTCAAGTACCCTGGTTTCTAAACTGTTATAGCTGAAGTGGAACAAAAACTGTAAGTAGACCAGTCCTTGGACAATTATGCCTATTTAGATTTTAACCTCTTGAGTGCAGGGACTGTTTTTTTCCTGATGTTTATACAGTGCCTAGCAAAATGAAACTCTTTTCTTGTTTGGCCCTTTGGCGTAACCATAACTGATAACATGATTATGATGATAATAAAGAACGGTTGGAGATTTCCCTGTGCTATTCAGCCTCGCAGCTCATATTATAGGGGACATGACAATGGAAAATGAGGCATGGCCAGAGTATTGCTGTGCTCCAGCGATACCCACGTCCCCAGAACAACTCTTGGGGTAGCTATTGGAGGTGGGGGCAGATTAGAGCAGGCATTGCTACAGAAGGTGAATTGTCCCCCATCTGGCTTGAGGATCAGTGGGTGGAGGTATAAAAGTAGTGTAAAACCTATTTTTTCTGTCTCTTGTCACCACCAGGACGTGGGTGATCTGACCTAGTGGTCAAAGCAGGAGTTGCAAGTCAGGCTGTGTCAGATACCAAGAGGTCAGAATCAGAGACTGGCAAGAGGGCAAACTGAGAGTCAAGTGTGAGGAGGCAGGCTGGGTCAGTTACGAGGAGATCAGAAGCAGGAGACAACTTGAGAGCAGAACCACAGGTCAGGAACCTGACTCAGGCCTGGTTGGGATACCAGGAAGTCAAGCCAGGGGAGTGGAAGCAGGAAGCACAATGCACACAGTCCAGAGCAAGCTGGATCCCATTGCATGGACAGCTTCCTGTTCCTGTGCTGGATTTAAATAAGAGCTGTGGACCAATCAGGACCCCCAGTGTTCTGCCAGTCAGCTCTCGGGACTGGGGTCCTCTGTCTCAGTTCAGCTCCTTCTGACAACAGTTAGCAGGTCGGAACATGCTGGCCTCTAAAGAGCCCTGGGAACCAGCGTTTAAGACCCATCGTCTCTGACACCCCTCCTTTGGGTTCCACCTTGAGCAGAGCTCCGCTATGTGGTTTCTAATGGTGACTGAGATTTCCTGGTTCATTCAGCAGCATTATGAATTATATCACTGCAGCTCTAGGAATAAATTTTATTAGTTAACTGCTGCTGCTCAACCAACAATGGCACACAAAAGTGCAAAGCCCTGTGTTGTTTAGGATGATCTTACCTAGCCAATGATAGTTGACAACACAAAGACTCTTTCAGGATTGGGTTTTTATTGACAACTGATTTTTTTGTTTTAGTTATTTAAGTTAATCCCCCCCCCACACACACACAGACTCCAAATTAGATTCCCTCATGCTCAGTTAGACTGACTCTCTTTGAGCTACTTACACCCACTATCAATGTCTAAGGAAGTCTAAGTTAGTGTAATGAGTCTATTAGTATAAGAGGTCTAATGTGTACATTACTTCGCAGTTTAGCCCTGTGACTCTAAAGAAGTGTAACTCATTAACTCTAAGGGAGCGTAAGTTGATGTAATCAACATAATGAGGAAACTGGAAGAAATTATGTTATATCCACTTAAGTCCCTGTAAACTTTCATAGACTTGTCTCTGAATTTGGCACTTGAATCTAGAAGAGAAACTGCAACAGATCATAACTGTAAAATTTGTTAGTTTGGGCCGAAACTAATCTAATCTATTTTATGTGTAAGATATCAGTCACCTAGGATCTAAACTCTAAAGAAAATATATAAGTATTATAGATTGTGTATGAGTAGGTTAGTTTATATTTGTTAATAAATACACTTCTTAAAATTCTAAAATGTAAATAAATGATATTGTTACTATCATTTAGGAGCAACTTTGCAGGTCTTCTGTCAGTAGTGGTGAGTTGTACAGTAAATAACTTTCACAAATGATTGTCACTTGCAATTAAAATATAAAAATATAAAATATCTGTTTTATGCTATTTGAGTATTGCCTAATACACATCCAGGGCTTTTCCAGGTACTTGGCTTGTGCCCTTAGGAGTTCCAGTGGCTCACTGCCCTTTAAAATAGTGACACTGAATGTCAGTACTGCACAGGCATTGCACTCCTGTCCAGCAGCAAAGGGTTGCAGACTGTAAATTAAACATAATATAAACATAGTTATATTGATCAGGGTTAAACAATGACTTGTAAATTTTCAAAGATTTCCACTAAGTGTCTTAGCCCTGCTAAAACTGTTATTAATTGGAGTCGTGAGGCTAAAACCCTTCACAATTCAGAACATTTGGGAGTGATTGACTTTGACTGTGATTTATAATAGCCTAACACAAATAAATCGAATATTGCATTAAGATTGCATGATTCTCTCATGTTCATTATTTTGGGATCTGCAGTTTATCAGAGCTTCCGTTAAACAAGTGTCTCTGGTCTTTAGGTTCTTGAACACTGTTTCCGATATGTCCATTTTTTTGAAGTGTAGGTCTCTTGAGTCTTTACTTTTCAAACTCACTTTGTGGTTTGGCTTTCCTAGTCATGCTGCTCTGTTCTATTTGCTGGCATTGGAATGAAATGTATTAAAATCCTGTTTTCTGAAGTCCTATAAGCAATGCAAGAAGAAGCACGTGAAATTCAGTGCAGAGAACTGAGTAGAGCGGGGAGGACAAGGACAGAGCAAAGGAAGAGCAGGAAGGGAGGAAATATGTATGTGACTGATCCAATACCCCTTGAATTCAGTGAGAATCTTTCCATGGACATCAATAAACACTGGATCAGGCCTAATAGGGATTGGCCTCTTCTAGAGTTTACTTTTCAATTGCTTTTTTTAAAATGTGGGCTCTTACTAATTCTTTCCAGTGTTAAAATTTCATTGAATTACTAAGATATGTGATCGAAGGAATTGGTGATTTTGGGGATCCCCACTGCAGTCTTTAGAAGTTTGACTATCTAGTGCTGTTGGCATTTACTTTTAGAGCAAAAGAGAAAACACAACAAGGAAGGAAGGAACAAAGCAGAGGAGGAAGTGGATAAAAAAAGCAGACAAGACAGTTAATAAAGTGCTCAAATGCTACTGCAATAAGCATGGTATAAAAACTTAGAAGGAATTAACAAACTCTAATTTGGACATACTATTTATCCATCCTGCAATGGCCAGTGGAAATGCATTTTATATGTTCCTGCCATAGCAGACAATTAGGTACCATGGTGATGGTGCTTAGATATCACAATGATTGATGTGGTATAAGAATCCAGATAGATAGTTGGTAAGGATTGCGTCAGCTTTGTATAGACTTTATGCTGTCACATCAGAGAATAACTTTGGGGCAGTATTCAATTTATATG